GGCACCTCCACATCATTGCATTCAGTTTTTATTCACAATTTGTTTAGTGTCCCAACTTTTTTGGAATCCGGTTTGTATATTAACCTTATTTATTCTCCATTTTTCTCTTGATTTGTCTCTGTTGCAGTAATTGAAACCAAATCAAAGGACAAATGTAACTCCATATTTGTTCAGTAGTACTTATTCATCCCAAAAGGGGGCAGTGTTTAGTGGGCCATGACAGCATCAGCGCACTGTTTAAACTTTAAACCATATTTGACCAGTACAGACTGGCATTTAATAATACAATGTATCATGTAGATATAACTTACATTAACAATCAGAACATGTATAATTACTAGATCCAGTACCTTTTTATCCTGATGACCTTTTAAATTTACGATAAATACATTATAATAACAGAACCATATATTTGCCTAACCTTTTGAACACGGTCCATCACAGTTGCAGATAATGGTATTAAAGTGTTTCTAATGTTGCAGAAATGAGGTCCTATTATCATCTTAATTTCAAAAGAAACTCTGTCTTCATTTTTGTAATTTTCTTTTTGTGTTTACCTGTTGTGTGTTCATCTCTTCTACTTGGAACTTATTCATTCAGAATTAAATTACATCACAATACATACCCACTTAATATTATTTGAATTTTAATACGAGAGATATAATGGTGGAAGGGACTGTGAGATAAAAGTGCGCACAGTTGTGAATCCTCAGATTTTCATTGCAAACACAAAATTGACTGGAAGTCTCCAACATGAGTGACACGAGAGACGACTCTTCTGCCTTCTCTGTCAGTGTTTACAGCAAGTGATGAGTTTGATCGTTTGTTAAGCAGTGGAGGGTTGAAAAACTCTAAGTAACCATCACATATTTATCTTTTTCTCCTCCGTCACGGAGCGAAGAGGGGGAATTGGAAAAAACCTCCCTTGGTCCGGTCGTCCTTCTGTCTCTGCATGTTGTGACAAAGTTCCCAGTGACTCTGGAAATCAGGGAAAACCTGCAAAATTACTTACACATTTTACAGAAAGGGAAAACTCATGGAGTTTGAACACTGATCTGCTGATTGAAAGATGATCGTTCTGAGGTTTTGATGTGTTCATGTATTAGTGCCATTATTCTAGTATCAGTCAGTCCATATTCTGCTTTTACATTGTACAGAGTATTGTAGATGAACAGATGCTCAGATATATTCATCAATTAACACGGATTCCTCATTTTTCTGAACTGAATAAAACGTGCATTGAACTTAATGAAATGCAAACGTGAGACGTCATTTATATTTGACCCATCAAAATGAATGCGGTCATTTATTTACAGAATCAAAGTTTAACATCAAACATTTACATTAATTTGGCAAATTATGAAAATAACAACACAAGCAATCAATCAGGAAAAATCATACGGCCATGATTTTTCCGTTGCGTCACCACAGACATTTATGAAAACTGTACAATTATGATCTTTTACCCACACGGATGTGGATGAGCACTTTACACAGACATTTCTAAAATCTGGAAGAATTTCTACTTGAGAGAGGAGTTTAAAGATGGGAAAGAAGTTTAAAGAAGAGTAAAAGATGGGGTTTGAGGGAGTGTTGACAGAACGGCACTCTCCGGGCTTTCTTCAGCTTTTCCTTACAGTACACTTAGGTGGTGAAATCGACTCTTTTACCTGGAGATGTCTCAGGCGAGATTCCGTTTAACGCACCCATTCAGCGTCTCCGTAGGATGCTGTTACTCGTCCGGAGTAGCAGCTTTTTGTCCCTCACAGCTCACCTCAGTGGAAAATGTTATAATCCCATGAAACTCGGAAGAGCTCTGTTGTCATGTCAGGATCTTCCCGGCTCCCAGAACTGGGCTTCTCCGCACAGAACTGAACAGAACTGACCTCCACCGAACCGAGTAGAACCCTCACAGAACCGGTTAGACCAGGAAGTACCGACATTTTAAAGAGCTCTTTTTCCCGGTTCATCTGGGAGTATTCCCATTGGCCAGAACCGACCAGACGGGGTGTGTTTTGTGACGTAAAAGGTTAGAATGCAGCAAGAATTGTTATGGAACAGATCAGAAATGTTCTCACAGACAGAGAGAGTTTTGTTTTGGCGAGTTTAAGAAACAGGTGCCAAAACCCCCTCTGTTGACGTCTGAGAGGATATAAACAAGACAGTTGTTCCAACGCATGTCTGCTTCTTCCTGACCCTGGAACGCACACTTGCATGAGAATTAAAAATCATTACACAGTTAATAAAATTGATTAGTTCACTGCAACATCTAAAATGGTTTGAACTAAGACACTTTGATTATCAACATCTGTAAAATAGTAATGATAATAAAAAAAAGAGTGTTCTTTCACTTGATTATCAAGAAAGAGAGTCTCAGGATGGGTGAACCTGTATCTCTGGATTCAAATCAATGAAATGACAGTTTCTGTCCCACAAGGTTCTTAAGGTCAAGGGTTTTGACCTTAGGCTTAGTCGTGACACCAGATTAAGTTCACTACAGTATTGTACCCTTACTGATTGGCTCTGGTGGCATTTTACTTTCTGATCTTACACAATGTAATGAATTATTAGGAAGGATTGCTGTTTGCATGTACTTTATGTCAGGATTTTCAGGCTGAGCTGAACAGGAACAAACCCATGTGCAGACAGGACGTAAAATAAGAAAACACACAAACAGCTGACAAACACTTACTGGTCAGAAAACACGAGGGAGACAGGAGGATACCAGACGATGCACTGACAAAGTCTGAGACAAGGACCAGGGCTTATATACACATAGACTAGACGAGACAAACTACAAACACCTGGAGAACACGCGGGTGGAACTGATCAGGGTAATTATTGGAGACACTAGGGAGTACAGACACATGGAAACTAACAGAGGTACTATCCTTACAGTACCCTCCCCCCAAGGACACCTCCAGGCGTCCCAAAAAGGGCCCACCCCAAAAGACTTGGGCAGGAGGAGGGAGGCACTGCAAGGATGGAGGGCACAAGGAACACACGAAACCAAAACCGGCAGGACAAGACTAGACTAAAATAAAACTAGGGAACACAAAAAATGTCTGAACGGTCAGGAGACCATCCCTAGGCTGTTTACAGTTCGGGTGGGCGGCCAGGAGTCCGTCCCAAATGCTGGGGAAAATCCGGCAGGCAGCTGGGAGGCCGTCCAAAGCTCAGGAGCTAGTCAGGAGT